GGGGGGGGGGGGAGAGTTTCAAAGGCTAGCTGAACGATGTCTGAGAAGTGTAAATTAAGAGGAATCAAGGGAGTCTACATATTTGAACGGGAAAAAATGGTCTTGTAGAATTACGGTCAGGATTTAGAGAGAATTATCTTGCTGGAGTTAGTAGTTGCAGTAGCAGTATCAAAAAGGGCATTTGCAGGAGCTCAGCAAATTCATACAGGACAACCTGAGTGTCTCTTTATTACGAACTCAACTATTGACTTGAAAGAGTACATGTTTATTTAGGATTATTACACACAAAATTGTGTGTTTTTAATTTCATCATCATCAAACAGTTGCAAGGTTGGTTGCAGGCGGATTTAGATTAGAAACTGAACAGATGATCTGAGGAATCTGTTTGAACATGTTATTAATAAAAACCGAGTAATTACTTCCAATACAAAATAGTGTCCATTGCTGCCACCAGATAATACAGCTTAGTGTGCTGCAAAAATGAACATAGCCAGGATCTGTTATCAATCTAATTTTTTAACTTCTAAACGGGGTTTCTTGCAAATTGTTTGCTCTGTTGAGATGCAAGAAAATTTGGTAGTTAACTTAGGAAACTATATATCATATTATAGACCTTGTTGCTGTCACGCTTGATTCTTCAGTTTCATCATAATTCATTATCGTCTTCTGGTTTCTGTAGGTTTATATATTTTTTGCTCTCTTTTCGCCCGTGTTGGAGTTGGCTCGTGAACTTCTAAGGTTCTTCTTTCAAATACTTTGCATCTGATGGTAATATCTGTTTCTTCGCGTCTTTGTGCTCTTTCAGCTTTGTTTGTGCCTCGTCTTCTTCCAAATGCTTTGCATCTGATGGTAATATCTGTGCCTTCGTGTCTTCGTGCTCCTTCAGCTTTGTTTGTGCCTCATCTTCTTCTTTTCCCCATAACAGCAAGTACAGTCCAATAATAACAACTCCTCCACCTAGTATACTGGAAATGCCACAGGTAGGCAATTAAAAGAGGAAATGAAATTTACTGCATTTCTTGATGCTTAAATTCTCTTACTAGTTTTTAAAACTTTGCCCATCACTATCGTATGAAGCTGTCCCCAAGCTTTGCTTGTCGTATTTTACTGAACCTACCTTCTCACAAATAGTGAAAAAGAGGAAGAAGACAGAAAGAACCTACCTCCCAACATATAGATTTTCACCTAGTACAAAGTATGCCAAAATTGCCACCAATAATGTCGACAGAGGATTGAACATTGTCACAAAAACTGGCCCCTTCTCTTCTGTGCACCACAGCTGAATGTACGTCACTATACCAGATATGACTATTCCCTGTATTTCATTACAACGAACAATTCAGTTAAACTTTAGTAGATTAGATGTCTGAAATTATTATACTGTTGAACTCATGCTCACGCCATATATGGTCGACCAGAGATCAATGTTCAAACCAATGGTCCAAGCATCTCGTTTATGTTGCACGATAACTGTGAATATGGCTGATTGTGCTGCTCCCACAAAATTCATCCATGTTGCCAGAGAAAGCTGCGCTGGATACCGTTTTAATGTATATGCCTGCATATTTAGATCAGACATTGTTTTGATCGATATTATTTTTTATCGCAGAAATAAATCAATTACTGAAATTTATGTTGGTTATGAAGTGATTCCTTGAATTGGATTTTGATATTTATAGAAGCTTAATTTAGTCCTTTTTCATTTGAATTATAGTGAAATTGTTAGACAAACTGATTTAATCACTTTTCTGTCACTACTTTTTATGAACACGTCACTTTTGCGCCCATCTTTATGAAGTCAGTCAATTTATGTTCTGATATGCTAATTTTCAGGAGAATAATCGAATAGTTTAAGGAATTATAGTTTTTGTAAGTTAGATTTTGGATTGAGACCTGCATTATATACCATATTGACCATGTGATGCAGCTTGCTATGGTAAGGAGAGAACCCTTCAGCCAGTGCTCATGGACAACTGTTGTGCTTCCCCTGATATGAATGAGTGTATGCCCCAGGTTTTTCAGAACAGGTCCCTTGTACAGTGTCATGGTCATCACACCAGCCAAGGATAAAACTGTTCCAATAATTTTTGCAATGCCTCGTAGCCTGCGAATATTTACTACCTCCAGCCTGCATGCGAAATCATTTCCAGTAAGTTTTCCGTAATCGATATTGTTCAGAGATTCGAATTTTTTACAAATACTACCTGAGTATGACTGCTAGAATAAATGTCAGGGAAGCTATAGTGTTGACCATGCATGACAGCAACGTAGGAGAGGTGAACTTCAAGCTTGTAAAATACATATTTAAGGTTAAACTCACCCTGCAATCATTAAATTGCTGTTAGTCATTTTGTACTTTCATGTTTCTTGAAAGTTCAATTCTTACGATTTTGTACCCGAGAAGAGAAAGTACAAAAAACTCCAGGAATAGAGCCAGTGTTAGCTTTGGCCGTATATTTCTGCATTTTAACAGAATATATATCAGTTTCACAATATGAACCATATTGAGATTATAATTTGCCTGTGTGCTGATTTACCTTTCAAGAAAATAGGCAAAAGGTAGCATCACTAAACCGGCAAGGATATGTCTGTAAGTAACATAGACGAAAGGATTCATGCCGTGGTTGAAGGATGCTTCTGTTATGATATACATGATTGTGTAGCAAACCTGAGCCAGGACCATAAGAATATGAGGTTTGAAACGCCTGTAAATCTCGAGCATACCTCCATTTGTGGCCATGTAGTATTAGCACTATTCTGTTTTACTATTTTATAAATGAATCCCTTCTCTGTGTGATTCTCATGGTAAATTTATATGGAAAGAAAGGAACAACAGGTTCTTTGATTCTTATTTCATGTTGTTGGCATCATCTTCTCGATAATATGAATACTGACAGTTGCCCAACATGACCTCATAATCGATTTGAAGAGTGGAGAAAAGAAATATTCTTTTGCACTTTAGAGTCCGTTTGTCCGAGTTTTTGAAAAGTCAAAAGCTGCTTTTAAACATGTTTAAATAACTTTCTAGAAATGCTCTTATTAGAAGAGCTTTTGGAGGAAGTAGGTTCAAGGTGAAGCTTTTTGAAGCACAAAAAAAGCAGTAGCAAAGGCTAACCAAACAGGCCCCATAGTTTAGTTCTTGATTAATCCGAGATATTTACTTAATCCTCTGTTTTCTAGATAATATCGCAAAAAGGATGTTTGTTCTTGATCCTATAAAAGATTTTATTCTCAGTAGAATATTACACCAACAAATCTCTTTGTTCTCCTTGAAACATCTTTTCAAGTAGTGGCACTTTTTTATTAGTTATTGGGGATAATAGTCATATTCATACTGATAAGCTAAGGAGTTCAAAATTTCAAATAAAAATCTTTTTGGGACTTCAGAAAATCGAAGTTAATACTTTGAACGATAGAGTGGAAAGGGGAAACGTCAAAATATTTAGAAACTCTACCCATTTGTCTGTTGAAGAATGAACTCAGCGACTTCGTACCTATGGGAGCTGTTAAGTGATTAATCTCTATTCTGTAAAATAAAAGAAAAGAAAAAGAATCAAATTTCTGAATATTAGGTCAAAGAAATAGAAATTAGAATTCTCTCCATCCATTATTTTATATATAAATATCACGATTCATGAGAATATGGTCAACTTTTGTATTGGAGAAGAACCAGATTAAGAACCAGATTCTATTCAGTCGTCATCATAATATTAGTATCACTGATATTCTCTCTTGGTTGTGGAGATATTAAAATAATCGACAGTTTTTAAAGCAGAAATTAATTTAGATTGTACTGAAATTCAAACTTAGAGCCAGGTTTTTAGATAATAAATTTGGTAAAAAAATAATTTTTTGGAGAATGTGTGGTTAAAAAGTAGGTAAAAATTATATATGGGTCCATGTACAAAATTATTTTATTGGAATAATGTGTGAAAAAAAATAGTTTCAGAAAATCTCTACAAAACATGAGTTTAAGAAGCTAATGCTCCAGATGTATCATATGTAATTATTCTTAATCACGTTCTAGAAATTTCTGACTATCGTGAAATTTAAATTTTTTGCATCAATCTTCATATGGTTTGATTTCATACGTTTAAGTTTCTTCGTTTCTTCCTCTTTCATAGTTGGTCTCAAGTTAGAATAAAGGATCGACCACCAATATATCTTTTTTCATTCGAACTTCTGGAGAAAGTGTTCTGTGAATAATCCATCCCTTTAATTTGGCTAAAATGTGTTTGAGTGAAATGCAACTTAAGAGGAGAAAGTGCCATTGCCAAGATTGCTGAACATGGCATGATCTTGTCAATTGTTGGTTTACTCTTTCACAAGTGGGATTGGTGAATCAGAGAGTCTTTTGTGGACCTTTGGTGCTTGTTTTGGGATTAATGTTCTTGGACTCTATTGCTGCAGAAGCTTGTGCTATATTGCTCAAGCGATTTACCGCTTTCAGGTTGGATGTTCAACGGGCGATTAACCTTTTGGTGATCATTTGGACCTACGGGCAGAAAAGTATTATGTTATAACTAAAGAAAAACTTACTCACTTCGAGATTTTTCTAGTCTGAGACCCTAAAGTTTCAGTCTAACTTATTATTTGTTGATGATAAATCTTGTGATTTCAGGCTCCATTTATCTTCACCAAGGTTCTGGTAATAATCTGATTATCACTTAAACACTTGTCAAGAAACTTATTGATGATACTCAGTAATTAATAAAGATTGCACAACACCATATTTGTACTAATTTTCACTTAGAAAACCAGTATAACATGCAATTTTCAAGATTTTCGCAGATTACACAGTTCGAACATGCGTATGAGAAAAATAGTCAGATGGACAATTGGATATAGTGTTACTTAGTTCTATAGGGTGCAAAAATATGAAAAATGCTTTGGAGTATGGAAGAGAAGACGGAGATTTAAGAATAGAGTATGCATCCAGCGAAAATTTATTCGTAAGGGGTAGATCATACTTAAGTCAGGAACTAACTCCTCAAAATAAAATAATAACCCGAAGAAAAAGAATTCATTTAAAAAGATTTGAGGATAAATCCATGTCTAACTCTAAAAATAAAGCTAAAGGCACGAACTGCTACTTCTATGGCAAAATAGGTTATTTTATACAGCACTAACACAAAAGAATTTCATAATTAAAACGGTGGAACAACTTTAGGTTATAAGAAACCATTAAAAATAAATGGTGGAGTCTAATCGACTTAATCAATCATGCATAATCAAGAATGAGTTCTTGATAAAATAAGTCATTTTATAAAGTACTGACACAAAAGAATAGCATAAGTAAAAGAAAAAGAAAATCTAGATGAGGCAGCTTTAGCATATAAAACACCATCAATAAATGGTGAAGTCTATGTAACTTCATCAATCAGGCATAATCAAGAATGCATTCTTAGAGTCTGGGAGCGGAAGCACAATTCATATGTGCCCAGAAAGGACCTGGTTTAATTGATTTTTGGGACTTGTAGGGTGGTCAATTACAGCTAGGAAATGACCTTTCATGTAAAATATAAGATATAGCAAAATTTGCTTAAAACTGAAAAATGAGATGACCATGGTTCTTAGAAAGGCTAGGTATGTTCCAGAATTGCATAAAGACTTGGGGGTTGTTTGACAATGTTTTCGATTACAATTTTAGTAGATTTTCATAAAAAATGATGAAATGTATGTTAAAAAGTTGATGAAAGTTGTAGTTATAATTGAAGTTTGATGAGTTGAAAAATTGCGCAAACTTTTATCATACGAACACTTACTAAATAAAGTCAGTTTCTGTAAAAAATGTGTTCTACCACAAAACAGATTGTCTTTTATGTCTGGATTACATAAATCTGCCTCCATTCTTGAGTAGATGCTGACATTTGGAGGCCAGCTTCAGTCCAAACGTTTACTAGTTTCAGATATTTCTTGCTAATTATTGATGACTATACAAGAAAATGTGGACCTCCCTCTTAAAGAACAAGTCAGACACTTTACTTTTAAAGAATGGAAGATTCTTATTGAAAATCAACCGAACGAGAGGGTTAAAAGTCTTACGAACAAACAATGGACTAGGGTTCTGTAATCTTCAGTTCGACAATATTTGTAAAGAATCAGGAGTTAAGGCATAGGACAATCAAGCAGACTCCCCCACAAAAATGGGGTGGCTGAGAGCATATAATGAATAAGGTTCGGTGCATGTTAAATAGTGCAGCCTGTGCAGGCATGCCTGCCTGCACTATATATATATATATGAAGGGAAATCAGATTTTAGATCCATAAGGTGTGTGGTCTTAGGATATGGAGAGGGAACAAAATGTTATAGACTATAGGCTAAATATTAAGGCAGACACGGAAGTAAGAATGTAGTGTTTAACGAAGATGTCATTTCCTATTTAAAAGGAAAAAAAAATAAAAACACTAAACACTACAAATGACAAAAATACATCTTCTGCTGAAGATGATTTTCTAAGTGAAATTGATAACTGGTCAGAAAGTTCGAACATGAACAAGGAGTTCATGAATAACCAATACAACCCATGAACCATCTTTGGATGACTACCAACATATAAAAGATAGAGAAAGAAGACAAATCAGACCTTCAACTAGATATGGCGATTCACATTGTGACGCACTAGCTTCCTATGAAGAAGTTGTAGAAGGAAAGAACTATAAGTCCAAGAACAAATGATTTTTTAAAGAGAAAGTATCAAACCTGGGATCTAGTTTAAATGGCCTAAAAATCAAAAGACTGTAGATTGTATGTGGATTTTCAAAAAATAAAGGAAGGTGAACAAAAAAGGGAGATATTAGGTATTAGGCAAGGCTAGTATCTAGAGGCTTCATTCATTATTTTTTTTTGATTCAAAGAGGCTTCATTCATTAAGTGCATAACTACAATGAAATATACTACTATAAGAATGATACTAGCATTAGTAACTCAATTTTTACCTTGAACATGACCAGTTAATGATAAAATTATTTTATTAAGTGGAAAGTTTAGATGAAGCAATATTCATACCAACCACAGGAATTTGAAGTTAATGGAAATTCTGATTTAGTCTGTTCACTTAAACAAGTTCAAATTGCAATGGTATAAGAGATTTGATTATTATATCTTAGGAATTGGATTTATGAAGAATAATTTTGATTGTCTTTACTTTAAAGTGGAGGTAGTAAATCCACCTATTTACATCTATATGTAGACGATATATTATTAGCTAGTCATGAAATAGAAGAAGTGCAAGAAATAATAATAATAAACTTAAATATAAATTCGATTTGAAAGATTTTAGACAAGCAAAGAAATTTAGATTTGGAAATTAAAGGAAATAGGATGGATAACATGTTGAGTTTAAACACCTAAAATATCATTTTTATTAATAAAAAATACAAAGCTGCTATTCTGCCAAGAAGGGTTTGACACCTCCTCGACAGCACACTCACAATGAGGGAAGTACCTTTTTGAAGTTTTTTTTATTCACATGGATCCCATGAGGTCTCACTCCCATGCGAGTGTATGTCAATCAGAGTGTCAATTTTTTTTTACTTTTCTGATTTCAAGAAAATTCTGTAAAAAAGCAGCTTCTTGAAGAAGAGTTTTAGCCCGTTTGAGCCCCATTAAATTAAATTCCATTACATTAATTTTTTTTCTCTCTTCATTTCAACCACACATTTATCAAATAAAATAATATTACACACAAATCAAAAAAATTTCAACCACACATTCTCCCATCAATCAT